AAAAAAATCAAGTGTTGGCTGGAGGGAAGGCCTGCCTAAAGAGTCAAGTCTTTAGCTGACTCTTAAAAACACCCAGCGAGGGTGCCAGGGTGATTTTTGACGGCAAGGTGTTCCATAGCTGAGGGGTGGGAGAAGGCGTTCCGCCATGTATCGAGGTCCTAAACCATTTAGGGTTTTATAAGTCATCATTAACACTTTGAAGTAGATGCGGAAACGAATGGGAAGCCAATGCAAGGCGGCCAGGGTGGAAGCGATATGCTAGTATTTTCTCATCCCAGTGAGAAGTCCGGCTGCCGCATTTTGCACCATTTGAAGCCCGACCAGGGCACTGGTGTCATCCAAAAGACCCTGCAGCTGATCGGCCACCACCCTCTCCACTACTTTGCTAAGGAAGGAAACATTGGCGACGGGCCTGTAGTTGCCAATGTCGTCCATCGCCAAATTTGGTTTCTTCCTAACGGGCCTAATGAGTGTCTCCTTGAGGGCAGGAGGAACCTTGCTCTCAAGGAGAGAACCATTAATTATCGTAGTGGCCCATTCAGTTGTTATAGGCCTGGTTGCTTATGCTGAAGTTATGCTGATCAGGGAGTCAAGCCTGATCTATGTACAGTACAAAATTATTTTTATCAGGAAAACTCTTTAATCAGTTTCCTCTACTCAAAATTAATTTAAGGTAGGCCCATGAGTAATTCTTTATTTCCATCACTTTTTAAAAATCAATTTGCATATAGAGCATAAAAGCCAGTTACGTCCCTAAGAATAAACATTCCTTTTTACCCCTGCTCTGGAGAAAATAGATGCATGGGATATAACCTGCTCCAGGGAGGCAGGGTGAGCCTCCAAAGGGTCCTAGGGTGTGTTCCATAAGACGGACCTCTCCAAAATGCTCACCAAATTTTTAGGAGAAGAAAACAGATTATTATTTTCCTGTTTTCTTCTCCTAAAAATGTGGTGCTTCTTGAGAGGTGTGTCTCATTGGAGCAAAAAATACGGTATTTTAGTGTTGATTTGCATTGTTTCAGAAGAACTTTTGACCTATAAATCAAGTGCCAATTTTTAAACATTTATTTTTATAGAAGATAGTGATGTATGAATACAGGAAACACATGCTTTTACAATCCTATAGTGAGCAAAAGAGAGCCTTACTGGAATAACCATGATGTTACGCTCCAAGAAGATTTTATCAGCCTCAGGAGTAGTGGGTCCATTAGCACCTTCAGCAATTATCTGGAAAGAAAGTCAAAATATCACAAATCCACACAGAAAAGCTTACATTGACATTATCAGAAGGCTCATTATCCAGCATTGAACATGGAAGGTCTTCTTACTTTTGCTTTGACCTTGGGGGCATTAGCTTTTGTTAACTGCTTTTCACTGGCAGCTGGGATGAGGATATCACAATCTGCTTCAAGGATGTGGCAGTCCAGGCGCTGTGCCTTTGGGTAGGTGAGAATTGATCCATGTTGCTGTTTGGAGACACAGGAAGATGCCACAGTCAGTTTATTATAACAGACCAGAAGTTTTAAAGTAACTTAAACACATGAACCTACACTAGTATTTGCTATTATATGAACATTAGTGTCCTATAGATACTGAACATGAACAATCTCCATTGGGCTATTTTTACTCAAAATCATCTTTGGGCTTTTTCACAGGGATATTTTTACATAATTCCTAAATGCTAATTTCCTCCCTTCTGGCCCTTAGTTTTCTACCCCATAATGGTCAAAATTCCATGCCTACTGAGTACAGTATATGCTATCCTCCATGCTGTTTTGGGGCTCTCCCGTTCAGTTTTCTTCTCCCAAAGATATTTTAAATTTCTGAAATGGACAGGTTATCCACCTGTAATTGTAGTTCTTCAAGTGGACATCTGTGATTCACACCCTGGGTGATTTGCACCTCATTGGAAAATTGAGGCGCAAATCACCCAGGAGCCTCATTGGAAGATTCTAGAACTGTGGTAGCCATAAACACATTAGAATATGCCCCTCCCCAACTGTATAAATACCTTGGCGACAAGTGTCCCTTTTCAGTTGTGTCAACTGTCGCTTAATAGTAAGCAAACAATGGCATGACAGAGGGGAGGATGGGTGGGATGTGTGAATCAGAGGTCCACTCAAAGAACTACAATTACAGGTGGGTAACCTGTCATTCTTCGTGGCCTCTGTGAATCACACCCTGGGTGATT